TTCGCTCAAATACCTGGCTCCGGGCACCATCTTTGCTTCTTCCTAAGGAGCTGTGGAGCTCCGTTTGAGAGCAGAACTGCTTCCTGGTCTGTGCTGCCACGCTGGTGGGACCCCAGGGCTTTTTTGTTTTTTTTTTCTTTTCTTGAGTTGGAAGACCATTCTGGTTGGGCAGTGCTGCGCGGTTCGGGACCTACCCCCTCAGCTTGCACAGACATGCAGAGGGATCCCTCAGGGCATTTCTTTTAGCATGGGGTATTTTTTTTTTTTTCTGTTTTTTTGGGGGGGGTTTCTTGTTCTTTTTTTTTTTTTTCCCTTTTTGTCTTTCTTCATTACTCAGTTTCTTGTCTCTCTATACCTTCCTTCTCTTCCTGTCCCCTGAAAACCTGATGCTGAGTGACACCTCTACGCCTCCTAGCCAGGCTGTACTTCAACACCTGGGAACAACTTCCCCAGACCTCGTAGCTGCACTGGTGGGATCCCTGGGAACTTTGCTGTTCTTTTTTCTAATTTTTATTTATTCATTCTTTTTTTTTCCCCTCTTCTTCTTCCCCTTCTTGTTTTCTTCCATTTCATAGTCTCTCATCTCTCCACTCCAATGGCAAGCTCCCCTAGCACTCCTTTTTGTTAGTATGTTTTTGGCTCCTGTTCCTCTCTCCTCTCTCCCATACCCATCTTAGCTCCACACATCAAAATCTCCCCCATTCATCCTGCCTACGTGCACCGTGTGTTTAACATCACACCACCAAGCAGCACAGGATGGCCTACCGGAACCTGCCCTGCACTGATTACCGACCCGCCCTGGTGGCTGTAGTGCCACAAACAACCCATCCTAGCAACTCCTCTTCAGCTAGACCTGCCCTGCTATACCATATCTGAGCGACTGACCCCGCCAATTGGAGAAGAAGGTGAAAAGTATCATGCCCACAGACGAGCAAACAACAAAGAACACACAGCCCGCCTGCTCAGACACAGCCAAATTAAAAAAAAAAAGAAGGATGAAACAAACAAACCTACAATCAATAAATGAGAAAAATAACTACTGAATGCCCCGAAGACAGCAGACAATATCAAAACATTTACAAAAACAGGACAGGATGGTTCCAGTAGGTGTCCAAATTAAAACACCAGATGACTTTCCAGTGAAGAAAAGGCACTGGAACTACCTGATAGGGAATTCAAATCTCTAATACTCAGAATTATCCAAGAGTTGAAGCAAAAAGCAGACCAAAAATGAGGAAAAAAATAGACAAATTCATGGAAAAGGCAGACAAATTCATGGAAAATACAGACAAAAAAATGGAAGAATTCAGGAAAATAATGCAGGAAGAAAATGCCAAAATAAATTCACAACTAGAAATTATACAAAAACAATAATTAGAAATCGAAAAGATAAACAACAAGATTTCAGAAACGGACAGTGTCATAGAAGGGCTGAGCAGATTTGAAACTGTGGAAGACAGGATCAGTGGAATTGAAGATAAACACCTGGATACAACTCTGTTAGAGGAAAACTCAGAAAAAAGGACAAAGAAAAATGAAGAGACCCTGAGAATTATGTGGGATATAATCAAAAGCAAAAATTTGCAAGTGATCGGAGTTCCAGAAGGAGAAAACAGAAAACACAAAGAGGATCATTGAAGAACTGCTGACAGAAAACTTCCCCAATATCATGAAAGATGAAAAGCTGGCCATCCAAGAAGCTCAACGAACCCCATATAGGATAGAACCCAAAAGATGGAAAGAATACGCAGAGTAACTGTACCAAAAAGAATTGGTCAGCATTCATTTCAGGAGGTAGCATACGATCAAGAACTGACTGTACTGAAGGAAGAAGTCCAAGCTGCACTGAAGGCATTGGCGAAAAAACAAGTCTTCAGGAATTGACAGAATACTGAGAAGTTTCAACAAATGAAGCGCTGGAGGTGCTCACCTGTCTATGCCAAGAAATTACGATGACAGCTACCTGGCAATCTGACTGGAAGAGATCCATATTTGTGCCCATTGAAAACAAAGGTGATCCAACAGAATGCGGTAATTACCAAACAATATCATTAATATCACACACAATATTTCACTGAAGTTAATTAAAACAGTTGTAGCAGTGCATTGGCAGGGAACTGCCAGAAATTCAAGCCAGATTCAGAAAAGGACATGGAATGACTGATATCACTGCTGATGTTGGATGGATCTTTGCTGAAAGCAGAGAATACCAGAAAGATTGTTTACCTATGGTTTACTGACTAGGCAAAGGCATTTGACTGTGTGGGTCATAACAAATTATGGATAACACTGCAAAGAATGGGAATTCCAGAAACACTCAATTGTACTCATGAGGAGCCTGTACATAAACCAAGAGGCAGTCGTTCTAACAGAACAAGAGGATAGCACGAGGTTCAAAGTCAGGAAAGGTGTGCGTCATGTTGTATCTTTTCACCATACTTCCTCAATCTGTAGGCTGAACAAATAATCTGAGAAGCTGGGCTATACGAAGAATGTGGCATCAGGATTGACGAAAGACTCATTAACAACCTGAGACATGCAGATGACACAACCCCACTTGCTGAAAGTGAAGAGGACTTGAAGAATTTACCGACGAAGATCAAAGACCACAGCCTTCAATATGGATTACACATCAACATAAAGAAAATAAAAATCCTCACAACTGGACCAATAAGCAACATCATGATAAATGGAGAAAAGACTGAAATTGTCAAGAATATCATTTTACTTGGGTCCACAATCAACACCCACGGAAGCAGCAGTCAAAAAATCAAATGACGCATTGCCATCGGGCAAACTGCAAAAGACCTTTTTAAAGTGTTGAAAAGCAAAGATGTCACTTTGAGGACTAAGGTGCACCTGACCCAAGCCATGGTATTTTCAATCGCTTCATATGCATGCGAAAGCTGGACAATAGGTAAGGAAGACCAAAGAATTGACACCTTTGAATTTCGGTATGGACAAAGAATACTGAATATACCATGGACTGGCAGAAGAACAAACAAATCTGTCTTGGAAGAAGTAGTCAGAATGCTCCTTTGAAGGATGGCAAGATCTCATGTACTCTGGACATGTTATCAGGAGGGACCAGTCCCTGGAGGACATCATGCTTGGTAAATTAGAGGGTCAGTGAAAAAGAGGAAGACCCTCAACAAGATGGACTGACAGCGCGGCTGCAACAATGGGCTCAAGCATAACATCTACTGTGTGTATGGTGCAGGACTGGGCAGTGTTTTGTTCTGTTGTAGATAGTGTCGCTATAAGTCACAATCAACTCGAGGGCACCTAACAACTGCAACATCTACTCATCTACACACACACTATATTTATTACTAGGTCCACAGTTCTGACTGAGATTTAAATTTAAATTCAGTTTCTGCAATTGACAGCAAAGACTCCTTGAAAATTCCTTCATTTAGCTCCCTCATCTGTGAAAGATAAACTGTCTACCTAATAGGACTATCTGAAGATTAAACAAAATAACACATTGAAATACCTGTCACATAGCTTGCACTCAATAAAGGTTAAAAAAAATATAAATTTTATAGCATTGCAGCATAATTTGTAAAATCGTATAATAGTCAGATATAAATAAAACACAAATCCCGAAGTGTCTATTTTTTTATATTAAAGCAAATTACGATAAAATACTGGACTAAACCCTAGTATAAATCTGCATCTACAGTATCAATTAAACTATGTGGTTTCAAAGGGAAAGAATAGTGTTCAAAGGCTGGGTGTTGTCTGGCTATAAAGTACATCACTGACATAAACATGTTAACTATCTCATTGTTATTTTCAAAAAACTTTTGAGATCTTTGCTCCCATTATTTTTATTTTCAAAGACACAGCCTAGAAAACCTTTCCACCATTTTCTGAATCTTGTCACCGATACACTTGGTGTTGTATGACAGGGCCTTCCAGGTAGTTACTCTGAGCTCTGCACTCTGGTAGTATTCAGTGATCATTTCAATTGCAGAGGCAAAACGACAAGATTGTAACTCCTCCACTTCATTCTCCTCAGGAGAAGGTATGTGCTAAAATGAATTCTAAACATTGCTCCTTTTCTTGGTGGTGATTTCATTAAGCGTATCTGGCCTCTTTAACTTCCTCATTCACAAGCATGTCTTAACGTTTCATTTCTGATAAAACGGGGAAAAGGTGAAGAAAATCTTGTCATTTCTGTATACCTCAGCACAATATTTTGTCCATTTTTCAATATATTTTCTTGACATTAGATACCAGGACAAGGCTTAATATAACAATTACAAAAATTTAAGAAAAAAAAATTGGAAAACTTTATAACAAAGTTATAAAACAAGGGTTTGTTTTTTGACAGTGAATGTACAATACTCTATTATATAGTTTGCCATTATTTCTTTTCTAGGAAGAAAGGTAAAATAAATACAGTGTATAAGTCATTAAAAGCTCAGCAGATTTTTAAAACATGTAAGAGACACCAGTTAGAAAAAGTGCAATCAAACAAACCCAACTGTAAAAGTCATTTTTTTGCAACAATAAGCAACATTTGAATATGGAGTGTGTAGGAGGATATTATGTAATTACTGTTTATTTAGATAATGAGCTAAACACCATACCCGTGGGTGGCCATCTGGCTTTTTGTTAGGTGTTGATAATGTCACTGTGGTTGTTATTATTTTTTTAAAAGGCCTTATGAATCAGAGTCGACTTGACGGCAATGGGTTTGGTATCTGCTAAAGATACAAACTGAAGTAGTACAAGTGAAAGAGATAACGAACTGAAGCAGTACAAGTGAAAGAATTTGTCTGGGATAGATTGAATAATATTAAAGCTTTAAAAAAAAAGTGCTTACGTGGGGGGGCAGGGCAGGTAGATAATTAACATGACAATAGACCAAAGTATCCTGATACTAAAAGCAGCCCTGGTGGGGCAGTGGTTAAGCACTCACCTGTTAACCAAAAGGTTGGTTGTTCCAACCCATTAGCTGCTCTGTGGGAGAAACGTGGCAGTTTGCTTCTGTAAAGTTGACAGCCTTGGAAACACTATGGGGTAGTTCTACTCTGTCCTATAGGGTTGCTATGACTTGGAATTGACTCGATGGCAATAAGTTTGGTTTTGGGCTATCTTAATACTGCTGTCAACATATATAATAAAATGATGCCACTTCATGTCTCTATATCCTAAAGTGGCTTCTAGTGTCATGCACTATGCAGATTAAAAAAGATATACAGGCTATGCATTGCTAAACACACCTGTGACATATGACTGAGTCTAGTCTCTGAAGTGTTAAGGAAAGAAGGGCATGACAGAGCAGTAAGTAGGGAGAGAGTATGAAAGGAATACATTGGTATCACAGGATCTCCTATGACTCAAGGAAAGGTAAAAGGCAAGACAATAGAGCTCGGGTATCAAGCTGTATTAGAATTAACGTACGATGAAAACAGAAATAAGATGACTTCTGAATGAAAAGTTCTTTCTATGCCAGACTCGAGGTCACCACATATTCCCCTCATACTTGGTGTACATAGCACATCACCAGAAACGCTTGATGGCATTAAATCCTCAATATTCCAAAGGTCATATCCAACGTAGTTCTAATCCATAAAAATAAAGCATTCTTTACGTTGAATGCATTTTTTTATATGTTCAGGAACAATAATCTAGACATTTTTCATGTAGGATTTAAGAAGTACAAGTGAAATTAAACCATTCAGATAAAAAGCAACTAAAGCGCATTCATTACCTGTTTGATGACTCACCAACATTTATATATAGAATTTCACAGCCAACCTGACATTCCATCCACATAAAAAAAGCATACTATTTCTTTATTTTTTTTTATTTGACAAGCAGCAATATCATGTTTGTCAGTTTAATGTAGATACAATTATTAGGTTATCTGTCATATTACAATATTTAGGTTTTTTAATTTTATGTCCTTGAAGATACATTTAAAAAAAAAAAAACACATCAACTGCAAACGTGAAGGGAGAAAAAGCATGGTACCCAACCAAATTTTCACATTTCAGCAATACTTCACTCATTCTTTTAATAAAGTTTTAAGAAATGTCACAATGACATGAGCTTGAAATATCTATAGGCATTTTCCTTGACGCTCATGACGTGGCACTGGTGATGTTGTAAACAGCAGAAAACAGGGGCTCCCAAATGACCAAATTATGGAGGCACAGGCCTGCTTTTTCCCACAGGAACACACCAAATGGTGATGGCAATGATCTTCTTACACCCGCACGTGGAGGAGCGCAACATCACGCAACGTAACTATATTCATCTGCTGACGCCTGGCTGCGTTCAATATACTGTTTGTCTATCAGAACTTCAATACACTTCTTAATCATGCTGATGCTTGGATTAAACCTAGCTCTTGACTGGCTAATCACCTGTGTAAGAAAGAAATGGAGGTCAAACTTCTGCTAATAATTCACCTACAAATAATTACTTCTTATCAATCATCTATAAAAGAACTTAAAATTTATTGAGGTTTTGACAAACCAAATCTATCCAAGAAAAGATACTAGAAATAACAATAAAATTACATTAACTCAATAAAATCATCTAAACGGATGGACACGATATAGCAAATAAGTGAGTATCATGGACAACATTAAACTTTAAAACTGAGCACGGCAGTGCACAGAGGGAGCAGGAATAGTGAGACAATAATCTATGCAAAGTAAAGAAGCAGCTTAACCTTTACGTTATGAAGGAATTAAAATGTGGAACATAGATACAGCACAATCTAGTAATGTTCACATATAATTAAATGAAGCTGTAAACCAATCCATCTACCTAAATACTTACACACCCCCGCCCCAAGCTTCCACTTAACTCTACTTACCTTGCAGCTCTTAGCTCAAATCACAATTTCTCAGGAAAATTTTCCCTAACAAACCCTAATCAGATCTTCTATTTTCTCATAGTGCTGTATACTTTTCTTTCAGTAAATATAAATGTAACTTTACATTTATTTGCATATCATTTCAATAATGTACTTCTCCCCCATTTGACTGTAAATTCCAAAAGGGCAGGAACACTGTCTTGTTTTGCCCTGTATTATATATATCCCTATTGACCAGTAGTAACCTATCATATGGCAGATACTTGTGTATTTATGGAATGAATAAATACTTGAGTGGTCAACTTTCTTCAATAACTGGACAGAAATATCAATGAAATGGTGAGTTTTAGACCTCTAAATTGAAGCCAAAGCAAATCGGAATTTAATACTAAAATTTTAACTCAGTACTGCTGTCATTAAGTAATGAAGCATTTCTTTATGTTGTATGGAGATCATATGATTTCTGTATCATCATTTAAGAAAAAACAAAGCTAATCCAGACATTGATAAGTGCACTACCCCAAGAAGTCTTGATGACACCTTTCCCCTCTTACCTCTTGAATAAGGGCATTATGCCGAAGCACTTTTCGTGCTTTCATGATACGAACTATAGCAGCTTGGAGATACATTTTCCGGTCCTCATCTACAGCACTTCTAGTCTGCTCCATTTCCTGTTTTACAGGAAAACAAAAATCAGCAAATGAGACAATAAGTCACTCAACCTGTTTATAATTCATTTTATCAGTGAGTTCAAATAAATCTCCAAGGAACACCTAGCATCAGATTATCCAGTTATGTTGTGCCCAATATCACAAAACATCATCTACAGAGGGTTATATATAATCTCTAAGGTTAAAGTTGGAAGGTTATTAGAGAAAAGTTAACTGTTTTGTTAATATAAATAGGCAACAGAATAGGACTTTACTGAAATGATACAGCAATAATTTTCCACACCACAGTCCTAACAATGATTACAGACTCCATACCACAATGCTTTTAGGTAAGACTGAAGCAAAGAGCAGTAATTGGCTACAAGGGAATGCTGGATCAAGCTTCAAAGGGAAATGTTGTGATGGGTCCTATTTGGCTTAAGCGGGGAAGCCAGGAAGGATGGGTCACAAAGGCTCATCTCTGTAGAGCTCAAAGAAACACAGTAGAAGTAAGGGATGCAAGAAGTAATGCCACATAACAGGGATCTCATGACAGCTTTTAAAAGGTAAAATACAATTCATATATTACAAGTTATTATTCACTAGTCTGGAAAAAAATAAAACCATGACCAATTTGGGTTCAAATTTAATGGCAATTAATTAATGTTTGTCTCCCCCATGGGGCAGTAAGTTTCTGAGAAAGGGCCTAACATATTATACCTTCACATCCTACAAGGAGCCCAAGGACAGGGTGGCACATAGGAAGCAATCAGGAAACTTAAGTGATCTGAACAGTTTATCCCAGGACAAAGCAATAATCACTGCTGATTTAAAACAAGCACCAGCAGCATATGTTCATTACTCAAACTGTGGCTCGTCTGGTAGTTTGTTTGAAATGCAGAGTCTTGGGCCCCACTCCAGACCTATTAAATCAGAATGTGCATTTTAATAAGATCCCCAGGTGATTCATTTACACATTAAAGTCTGAAAAGCGTTTTTCTACACGCCTGCCTTTCATTGAAAGAAACTAGCTGTAAAAGTTTCTCTTATTCTATAAATGAAAAGAATTCCTGGGTAGCACAGTTAAGCACTCAACGACTAGTCACAAAGGTTGGCAGTTCGAACCCACCCAGAGGTGCCTCGGAAGACAGACCTGGCAATCTGCTTCTAAAAAGTCACGGCCCTAAAAACCCTACGGAGCAGTTCTACTTTGCATACATGGGGTGGCATGAGTCAGAACCAACTCAACGGCAACTAACATCAACAATAAATTTAAAAAAAGGAGCGGGGAGGTTGAGACTTTTTGGAGAGGATGCAAAGCAAAGCTACACATTTTAATAAGAGTTTAAGACCAAATGTGATTAATCTACACCTTTTCCCTTAGATACTCATTACTACTTCTTTTAAAAACTAAAACACTAGCAGAGATTTTTGTTTATTAGGTTAGTAAATGCAAAGAATAAACCAGAAAAGATGTGTTATCGTATTATTAATTTTGGAGTGTGATGTTTTAGATTTCAATGTTACCACTTAAAAAATACAACACTTAAATATTTCCAAAAAAAATCACATTTAAAAGCACTTGCCTGTGGTGTGTCTTTCTGCATCGATGTAGTAATTTTAAATTTTGTTCTTTTACTGCTGAAGTTCATATTTAATGAAAATGATGATTCTACATCGATGTCTTCCTATATTTAAAAAAATCCACAGCTTTATAAAAAATAAAATCATTAAATAAGAGCTTGCTGCCAACAATATACAATGAAATTAAATGACCAAGTTAAAAAACCTAAGCTCTCATAATGTTCACTTTAAAAAGATTTAATTTAAGAGACAAACAATTGTTTACTGTCAAACAAATAAGCAAACATCACTGTTTTCTAATTTTACATTTGCTGGAATTTCAATCAGTTTGGATTTTAGGAATAAGTTTTTTCCCTGGTCCAACTACTATATACATTACCTTTGAGATAAAAGAGTCAAGCTCATTGGATTAAACATGCAAAATTTAACATTTTAACTTTTATGAAATACCAAGGCTCATAATTTTTTATTATCCTCCATTTTGAAAAACTGAACATTTTTCTTTTTAAATGTTGCAATAAAATACCAGCTGACTATAGATGAAAGTTGTTTTTCAAGTGGCACACAAGCACTCTTTCACCTTGACCCAGGGGTGATTCTGCCAGGGTTTACCCTTCTTCAGTTCATGTTCTATTAACTCTGTGAGGAGAAGCAAGTGACCTTTTCTCAAGTCCAGTTATTAAGCCAATTTTTGGAATCACAACTTCTCCGTCAGGCTTAAGAAAACCACTCAAATCACATAGTGGAACTTCCCCATCAGCAGCATCAAGAAGCACTTGGCAGAGGTGGAGCCAGCATGGCACCACAGACAGAAGCACCAGGCCATCCCTTCACAGCAAAGACCCAAAAAACTAAGTAAAACAGAGACAAATGTCAATCTTGGAACGCTAAGCATCAAATGAAGACATAAAGAACTCAGCCAGGCACCGAATGGAATAAGAAACTGACAAAGAACAGAGAGCAAGGAGAGATACACAGCGAAGTCTTGTATCACTAATGCAGCACGGATGCGCCACCTTGGACTCCTGTCAGAGAGATCAGCAGACAAGGAATACAAGAAAGCAGCTTCACAGAGCTCCCAGCAGGAGACAGTGCACCCCGTAACCAGCGATACACGCTTTCCCACCCCTCGCCCTTCTTTTCCCCTGGTTAGCCTCCGTTGCTTCCCAGCGGGCTGCTGTCGCTTGACTAGGAGGTGTTGGCTCCGTGCCATTTGCAATCGCCTCACCCACACCAGCTGGCTCTTTCAGTGCCATTTCTTTGTTGCTGGTGTTGCTTTTGTCGTCTTCTTTTGGTTTCTTCCCTGACTCTCACCTGCTCCTCCTCCTCCTTTGTCTCAGACACCTGGCTCCATAAGCCATCTTTGCTTCTTCCTGACAGGCTGTGAAATGTTGCCCAGCTGGAGAACTGCTTTCCCGGTCCACGCCGCCATGCTCGTGGGATTTTTTGTTTGTTTGTTCGTTTTCTTTTTTCAATTTTTTCTTAATTTCTCGGATTCTCGTCTCTTTCTACTTAACTTCTTTTCTTGTCTCTGAATACCTGGCACTGTGTGCCCTCTCCATCCCTTCTAGCTGGGATGTACTGCATGGCTTGAGAGCCACTTTCCTGGTCTGCGCAGCCATGCTGGTGGGATCCCCAGGGGCATTTTTTCTTTTCTTTTTCATTATTATTTTTTCCTTTTTTTCTTCATTTCTCAGTTTCTCGTCTCTCTCTACTTTCCTTCTTTTCCTGTCTCCTGAATACCCGGTGTTGTGTGCCATCTCTGCCCCTTCTAACCAAGGCCTGGGAGCCACTTCCTTGGTTGCCAGTGGGATCCCTGTGGGTATTTTTTTCTTTATTTTCTCTTATTCTTTTTTTCCTTTGTGTTTTTCTTCATTTCTCAGTTTCTCATCTCTCCCTACCTTCCTTCTTTTCCTATCTCCTGAATACCTGGCGCTGTGTGCCATCTCTGCCCCTTCTAGACAGGCTGTGCCCTGAGGACTGGGAGTCACTTCCTCAGTCACAGGTGGGATCTCTGGGGACATTTTTTTTCTTTTTTAAATTTTTATTTACCTATTTTTTTTCTCTTTTTTCCTTTTTGATTTTCCTTATTTCTCAGTTTCTCATCTCTCCACTCCAGTGGCAGGCTCCCTCAGCATCTTTTTTTTTAATTCCTGTTTCTCTCTCCTCTCTCTCTTCTTTCCAATACCCAGCTTAGTTCCACACATCACAACATCCCCTTCCCCCTCCCTCCTGCTTATCTGCACCATGCACTAAACATCATACCCCCGAGAAGCATAGGCATGGCCTACCAGAACCTGCCCTGCACTGACACCCAGCCCACCCTGTCAGCCCCAGAAGGTGCCACAAACAACCCATCCCAGCCCCCGCCCCTTCAGCTAGACCTGCCTTGCTGCACCATAGTTGAGCGAACAGCCCTGCCTATTGGATAAGGTGAAAAGTACTGTGTCAACAGACGAACAAACTGAAGACACAAGGGAAAGATTAGTTCAAAGGACTAATGAACCACAACTAACATGGCCTCCACCAGACTGAGTCCAGTACAGCTAGATGGTGCCCGGCTACCACCACTGACTGCTCTGACCCGGATCACAACAGATGGTCTCGGACAGAGGTACAGAAAAATGTAGAACAAAATTCTAACTCACAAAAAAAGACCAGACTTACTGGCCTGACAGAGACTGGAGAAACCCTGAGAGTATGGCACCTGGACACCCTTTTAGCTCAGTAATAAAGTCATTCCTGAGGTTCACCCTTTAGCCAAAGAGTAGACAGCCCCGTAAAACAAAACAAGACTAAAGGGGCACACCAACCCACGGGACAAGGACTAGAAGGCAGGAGGGGACATGAAAGCTGGTAATAGGAAACCCAAGGTTGAGAAGGGACAGTGCTGACATGTCATGGGGTTGTTAACCAATGTCATAAAACCATATGTGTACTAACTGTTTAATGAGAAGCTAGTTTGTTCTGTAAATCTTCATCCAAAATACGATCAACAAAAAAAAAGAAGCACTTGGCAGATTTCATAATCAAATGCTTAATGTGCAAACAAGCAACCTATATTTAATTTGTAAATTTCTGGGCAGCAAAAATAACATGTTTTAAAAAAAATAAATAAAAACCTGTTAAGCACTAAGGTACTAGAGAATTTAATACTGTGTTAAGATTCTGAAGTCAGAAAAATTAAGAATCATTTCTCAAAATTAAAAAAGACACTGTCTGAGTTATAGAATATATGCCACTTATAGTGGTTTAATTATAAGCTATAAAATGCCAGCATAACCTTAGGATGTCAGCAAAACAAACTGATGAGAGAAGTTGTAAGCTCTTAATTTCACCAAAATAACATCTCTAGTATATTTACAAGAAGTTTTCTTATAGGCACAATAATTGGAAGCAGGATATTTAACACACATCTGTTGCTTTCTCTACCATGTAAACATTAGGATATGCTAATAAAAAAACAAAAACTTGTTACTAGAGAAAAAAGAATATACTATTGGTTTGCAATTCTTGTGCTAGATATTAAAATATATATTGTAGTTATTTGGGTCCTGAAATGAAGGGACTTGAGAGCAACTGAGATGGAATTATACATTTTAAGTATGACTACAAATAGATACAATTATTATATTTTAAGAAGACAGATATGACAGGTTTCTAAACCTGTTTATAAAATTACGAGGCTGCCATTTACTATTACAGAACCATGTAATTTAATATTAACTAAAAACATGGAGGAGTCCTCGAGTGTGCACATGGTTAACGCACTTGGTTGTTAGCAAAAAAGCTGGAGGTTCGAGACCACCCAGAGGCATCTCAGAAGAAAGGCCTGGCGATCTACTTCTGAAAAACCAGCCATTGAAAACCCTATGGAACACAGTTCTACTCTGACACACATGGGGTCACCATGAGTCAAAACTGCAATAGACAGCAAGTGTTTTAAACACGTGGAAAAAAACAAAGATTGATGATAGGCTAGTTTTAAAACCTCAGTTCACCAGAACCCTCTCAATGACCATTCGTTTACAATTTTTTTAGTAAAACGTGACAGTATAAGACAAAAAATCATCATCACACTATAAAAGGCACATACATAGACACTAAGCTCTATAGCATTATCTATGATTCCTCAAATTCAGAGCTATAAAGAACTTGCAGTAGATTAATGTAGTTGACTGAAGCATCTTCCAAAGCCCACAGAGCATTAGCAATTATAATCTTACTTTTGAAACTGTGAACATCCTAATGAAAAAGCTTTAATGTTTATAATACATAAATTCCTTGAAATATTGCCACATTACCTTTTCTGAATCATGGTTAATCATTTTGACGTCAAGTAAAGATTTGATGGTTTTTGTCAGTTCCTTTTCATTCATCTGGGTGCTGTCTTGAAGCTCTTTATAGCTGACGGTCTCACTGTTGTTAAAGGCAAGGAGAACTGCCATTTGGTATGTTGTGACCATGGCTACATACGGTTTGCCCAAATAGTTCATTTTAACTTCGCCTACAATTAAAACAAAAATTGTGACAGCAAACTGACCATCCAAAGAAACGTTTCAAAATTACTTGAGTAATCATTGTTTATTTCAGACATTTTCTCCTGAAAGAGGGAAGTGGAGACTTATTGAATTGTTGTTAGCATTTCTGCCAGCAATGTAATCCTTTTTTTCTTTTGGGTGGAGAGGAGGATTATCAGTCTTGAGCACATAGTATGAATCAGGGTTAAGCTACCATAACCTTTACCTGTAGGTTTAAACAATGTCTTTAAGTATTACTAGGAGAGTAAATACTTTAAAAGAAGGTGGGAGGAGGAGGAGAGATGGACAGACAAGAGAAAGGAGAAAGAATAACAGCCTGCTACCATCAACAACCTCATGTGTGCTCTACATCTGGTCCAAGCCCAGGTAAGGTTCAAGTATGCTAAGGTCTAAACGCACACTTAAAACACTACAGTTCTACAACACCCTGGGGGAGACAGCAGCATGATACTGTCACACTCAAGAGCTTGTAACAAACAGTATGACAAACTATCTATACACTCTGTAGTCTCTAAGTGAACAACTTTAAAACAAATAAATGATGCAAATCAAAGAACTGATTCCTAAAGCATAAAACTGTGGTTTAGTGATTATAGCAAACACACACACACACACATACAAACACACGGGCAGCATGATTTGACTTTTTTTTTTCGTTTTTGCAGTTTTTAATGGAAGTTGTATATAAGATTATTTCACTCCTGCATCTTCTCAATTGTTTCTTCTTTATATTTGCCCTTTTCCTTTCCTACTTGGTGAGATTTGGCTTTATGTTTGAGGATCTTTTTGCGGTCTTTGTCCAGTTTTAGCCTATTGATAGCCTAGTGATAACCACCTTGCTGGGGTGAATGCCCACATGGACAGCTGTGCCATTAGCTTTCTCTTGTTTCACCCATTCGATGTAGATGACATATTTCTTCCTGTAAACCTGGACTACTCTGCCAATTTGCCGACCTTTATAGTGTCGTCGTATAACCTGAACTTCATCATCCTTTCGGATGGACATGGACTGAACACTGTATTTCTGTCTCAGTTCCTTGGAAAGAGAGGAAGACATAATCTTCCTGCGAATGTAGAAAGGTGCACTGAAATGCCTTTTGTGACTTTTGCTCCAGTCAGAAGTCACAAAGGGATTGAACTTCATTTTGGCTGCTGCAGCTTCGGCGATGGCCACAAAAGGGAAAAGTGATTTGACTTTTTAATGGATTATAAACTAAACTAGCATGAGATTTGATTTTAAGGTTCTATATCTTAAATCAATGGAACTGCATTTCACATGAACTACTCCAGAGGCTGCATTTTCCCTGTTAGTGATAATTAGTAACTTTGATCAAGAGCTTATGCTTCTTTTATTTATTGATCATGTAACTAAAGATTTTAAAGGACAGAAGTCAATTTGCCATTTTAGTATCACCCCCACTCCCCAGATCCCCATATTAACTTTTATTATCATTATCAATTATGTCTTGGTTTAACTCACATTAACCAACAGAAAAAACTGGTATTCAGAAATCTTTTTCAAAATTCTTTGGATAGGAAAAATTAATAAATTAATTAGAATATCTGATTAACACAAAGGACTTAAGTAAAAAAAAAATCATTAGAAGTGTACCACTAGCAATTAGTATAAAGAGTACTTTAAAGGCTCTCCATTCAACAGTTAAGTTTGGGAAATGTGAGGAACAAAACATCACATGAACTGTATTACATCATTTGTGCAATGACTGCTTAATCATATGCCCCAGAAACACATATAAAATAATGCATCAAGCACCAAGATGATTAAGTGGAACCACGCCACTTAATCAGGTAGTTTTGACCTCATGACACTGTCACTGTCACTGATCCTGTAATATACTGACATGGGTTTGGGGACAGAATGAGTCTTCTGCCACAAAAAATAATCTTTGACCACCAACAGAACCCAAAAAGCATGAGGAAACAATACAAGGAAAGGGCCAAAGTACCATTTACCTATGACTGAGTTATTCTACAACATGTAACAGAAAAACTAACTAGTTTTACATTATATATTTTCCTTGCTATTTTTCAATAAATTATCAAGGATCGGAGTACATGGACCTGTTCCCACTTTTTTCCGGACCCTTCTCTCCTTAGCCAGCTCACAGGTGAAAAGACTGGGGAGGGGCAGAGAAGCATGCGGGGTAGGGAAGAAAGCCCCAGATTTGGACGATTCATTTAATTTACTTTCATATACACAGAAAAGGAATATGACAAAAGAGGATGATTTATGCTAACAGGGTGGCAAACTCTAAGAAACTCCAAACTAAAAGAAAGCATGTTGTACAAACATAATTTTTAAAACAAGCCAATCATAACTGAACTAGCATTTACAAGAATAGGAAACAAAGAGTTGGCAAAACTCTCACAATAGTTTCATTCAAGCTGCTCCCCAATTACATGTCAGCAATCTTGTCTCTTAAGGCAAGCTTCTCTTTATGGAAGAATGTCAGCTAATAAATGTTGAGGGAATGATAGACCATTTTGCAACCAATAATGAAATAACTGATTCAGGCAAGGATCATCAATGGACGACAAAATCATTAGGAAAGGGTGTTTGAGGAACAGGGTATACATATGGAACCCAATAATCACCTCTCAGGTTCACCTGTTAATTGAAAATGGGAAAGAGTCACTTTACAATGGAGATACCTGGTGGCTACCACCTTAACTGACCAAATTTCACATGTGGTAAAGTGGTATCAGCCCCCTTGAGTTCATCGTTTCTCGATTTCTGCTCTGTCACAAATGAAACTGATTTATATCCTGACAGTATAAAGATTGTGAGGTTCTGTACTTGTATCCTTTGTCAAGCTGTTCTCCTAGGATAATTCTACCCAAACTCCTAGTCATAAATCCAGTGGAATTTCAGGCTTTCTCTCAGTCAGTATCTGTCACATTTGCTATGGTAGACTGCTTACTTCTTAAAGTTCTTACCTCCATTGGTGATACAATCTCCACACTCTTCTTTGCCTATCTTAGCTAAGTCCTATTCATCCTTGAAAACCAAATTTAGATGTTATCTACCTATCAGCCCTCCCTCACCAATACCTGTCTGCCATTCTATGTGATGCCCTAACACCCTGAGCGTGCCTCTCTATCACAACATTCAAAGCACTGTAGGATAATTACTAAGCTGTCTTTCCTCCAACTAGAGGTGAGCTTTTTGAGGGCTGAGGCTCTGTATTTTATATCTGTATACCTTTAGAAGAACTTAGAATACAGATGTTCTTCGAGTTGATGAATGAATTTAACCAAGATACAGATAAGAAAATAGGCTCAGAGAACTTGCTTAAGGCTACACAGCTAGTAAATGGTGAGCTACTATTTAACCCTAGTTCTTCTGACTTTAAATTCTTTCAAATACCACTGTATATTCTATCTCCAACTGTTTATAAAGACTCTTGGCTTACAACATGAAAAAAAACAAATGATTTCTTGGGTTTTAATAAGCTGGGAGTATAGAAATGGACTAGTAATGAGTAATTTTGATTACATGTTAAGTATGAGTGATAGAGATTCTCAAGAAAACAGAACTCTAACTGATCAGCCCAGGATCAAAACCAATGTTTTAAAGAAGTCCTTGAGTTTGCGTCTTAAGCCAAATGTGGGCACGGCAGAATGAGTATCTTAAACATGGAGGGCATTTGATAACCTTTTGTTAAATGAATAAATAAAAAACAAAACAAAACAAAACCCCCACCCAACAGTTTCACTGATAGATCACAGGTTTTTCTGCAGTGCCTTCAGTGATTCAAAACAAGAAATGTGTTTACAAAGTTAATATCCCATTTCCAAAAAAAGAACTATTTGGCTTTAATTAACACACACATACACAGGCATACACACCCCTAAAACAAGACAAAATAAATAAACAAGGTCCAAAAACCAGCTTGGCAACTAGTACTATAGTTCTAAAACAGAAAAAAACTTGTTTTCTTTCAGGCCAAATTCCATTGGTAAAAACTACACGTACTGCCTCTTTCTTCCCGTACACAGCTAGGTGCTAAACACCAAGAAAATAATAAACTTTTTATTATTACTGAGGTAATGAGAATAAACAAGACAGCTTAATCTCCCCAAGATAAATACTCAGAAGCGGTACAAGCAAATTAAATTCAGCTACATTAAGATCTATTAGCTTTCTTAGAAGACACAATATCTGAAATCCTGGCCCAGCAATTTTTTGTTTCCTTAAAATCAACTGTATTTACTAAATGAGAGTAGAAAACATTCATAACAGGTATAAAATAAAAGGTCACCTTTTAAGTGACCAGTTATTAAGGATATCAGTAAACACCTCTTTATTTCAAAAAATAGTGAAAAAAATTAAAACCCCCAACTAGTTCAATAAAAATAAACTTATACAAATAATGCAATATATATTACTACCATAATAAGCCACCATATCCAAGATGTACATATAATTGGTAAGTATTAGAGTTACTTGGATGAAATCTCTCTTATTTGAGTGGATAGAAAAGACTAATAAGGATTATGGCAACTGATGAGATTTGAATTTTACTGTATCATTTCTAGGAGATATTAACATATATCCTCTTTCACTCTTAGATAAAAGGAAAGCTCATTCCACGCATATTTCAAAGCAGAGCTTTAGCAAAAGTGAGAAAATTTGAGTGTTTGCTTTAACTAACACCTTCAGGCAACTAATAGCAACTGCGTAATCTATAATTATTCAGGTATTAACTCTACTGTCAATAAGTGGACCCCACTATTTCAGAAAAAAGTAAAGGAAATGACGAGATTCTGATTAATGCTACTCCTAACCTGGAAACTACTGGAAATGGAGACTTTCTGGGGAAAGTATTTACTACTACAGTTCACTATACTGTCACAAATAAAAATCAAATGGTTAGGTCTCCTTATGATGCTATAACAGTTAATGAAATTTCCAAGGATACGTGGCATACTTAGAATAGGATATTAGGAGTATTGGACTCATCAAGTTTGAGTGTCTACATAAAGTTTCTAATGTCTATAAACAGTAGTTTTCTATAGAAATGCAATAAACCATTATAAAATTTAGATATTCCCTTATTAAACAGTAATACTTTAAGCAGCATAATTATAAAATACTATTAAAATGTTCTGCACTTGAACTTCATTTGTTCCTTTAATGGTAACCAAAAAGGGAGATGGAAAAGATTAAAAACTATAATTAGGCTATAAGAAATTTTTCTAAATTATTAACATAATCATACCAAGTAAATTTCATTAAACCACATATAGTTGAATGCAACTTACCTGTACAGAGATAATGTAACCATGTAAGTTTCCTTCCACTGAAATGTTGGCTGTAAAATAATTCAAACTGAAAAAAAAAAAAAATTTTAATTATTTTCAGCTACTATAATTTAATTATTTTCAGCTACTATAACTTACTTGCTATCCCCATGCTATAAATGTTTTTTTTTTAAAAAAAGGTTCACGTTAGAAAGAATATTATAGCCTATCTGGTATACCGTCTCATTTTACGGATAAGACATACATGCAGTCCCTGGCCAAGATCATACAAATATTAACCCAGGTCTTTTCACTGACAATTTTGTCCAGGGTTTTCTCCAGTAAACCACAGCACTGCAAATGTGACTCTTCATATATATTCAAAATTACATTGTAGTTAATTATCATTTTTGGATAATATTAATTTAGGCTTTATAAATACTAATTAATGACCAAAACCACCACAACATACATTTCCATATGAAAACATAAATCACACCTTCATTTCTATCTCCTATTTGCCAACATATATACCCTTGCTGAAGTGACATGTTGATTAATATTTTCATGATTACCTATAAAGTGACATCTATGATTTAACTTATACATCCAGTAAAACAATAAAACAAACAAAGCGTCAGAGTACTTCTCTTTGGATATTCTTTAGTTACTATAAACCAAAACCAAACCCATTGCCGTCGAGTCGATTCTAACTCATAGTGACCCTATAGAACTGACCCATATGGTTTCCAAGGAGCAGCTGGTGGATTCGAACTGCTGACCTTTTGGTTAGCAGCCGTAGCTCTTAACCACTATACGCCACCAGGGTTTCTGTAATTGTGAATAAGTAAATTTAACATACTAGTAATGCAGCTTTGAAACTGTGAACATTCCTTTCCTGGACTGAATGTGTGGTTGTAGGACCTCAGTCCAAAACATAGAGCTCCTATCTTTTAAAGTGCTACTATATAATACACAGTGGGAAAAGGATACCGAGATTGAAAAAGATAAAAATTCAACTTCACTACAAACTGAAAAATATTTGAATGCATCATGTCACAACTCAGAATGTGAACATAATTTTAGCATGATGTGCAATATGTAACATACATAAAGCCTTTATTTGTATATCAAACTTTACCTTTTAGTTCAACTAAAGCAATCAATAGAATCAGCAGTTTATTCCAAGTTCCACTAGTCCAGAGAAGCTGAAACTTGTTCAGCATGTTTTCCCTCCAATATTGCAGCACTCTCCTCTACCAGCATAGCCACCAACCCCTTTGCATGATCACTAGAAAATAACTGCTACCTGGAATACAAAAGATTTTCTAACTGGTTCTAATCCAGATAAGACCAAACAAAAATATGCCATAAGGGGATTCTAGAAGTATACTTTGACTAATTAATAACCTCCTGGGCTGTCAAAGAAACCCTGGTGGAGTAGTGGCTAAGAGCTTGGCTGCTAACCAAAACATTGGCAGTTCGAATCCACCAGCCACTCCTTGGAAACCCTATGCTGCAGTTCTACTCTGTCCTACAGGGTCACTATCAGTCAGAATTGATTAGACGGCAATGGGTTTGGTTTGGTTTTTTTTGGATTGTCAACGGGGCCCTGGTGGTTCAGCTGGTTAAGACCTCAGCTGCTAATCAAAAGGTTGGCAGTTCGACTCCACCAGCCACTCCTTGGAAACTCTATGAGGGCAATTCTATCCTGTCCTATAGGGTTGCTGAGTCAGAATCAACTTGACGGCAACGGGTTTAACAGGGTTGTCAGTAAAACTCCAGTACTACTATACAACTCATAATTTATAATGAGTTTGTGTACCAGAGCAAAATAAAGCACTTTTAAAAATAAGAAACCCAAGCTGAAAAGTGTTCTTTATAAATTATTTAAGCGCAAAATTAGCTTTAAGATTCTAAGCTGTGAAGGCACGTTTTACCTGTTTATATTCCCAGCAACTAGCACTGTTCACTAATGTTTTATTGATGATATCAACATAGCAAAAGAAAATATTCTTTCATCCCGAAATTTAAAATCTAATTAAAAAGACTCTCATATCTATAGATGTTCAAGAACAAAATGATTCAGCTCCAAATGGGAATACTGTAAATTAATCTGGTATTACAAAGACAAAAGTTGTACAAACGTTGCTTATTATATAATAATTGTGTTACCAAAGTTTACTAAGAAATATATTTAACTTTCTCATTTTAAAGTAAGTAATATTCCAACTAAATGATAGCATTTTTAAAAGGATGTTTGAGGGCAATTAAATAGAACTCAAATGGACTGAAAAATTAACAATTCATATTCAGTGGGTTTATTCAACTCTAAGAGTTGCATCAATATATACTACTTTAAATATCTCTTTATATTATTCAGGTTTGTGGGCCTGGTACAAAAGAAATATTACAATTAATACTTACTGGCTTAACGTGCAAAAATAATTACTTTTAATATAGTTTTATTTTCATAATTTTAAGATTTGTCATTGTTAGGTGCCACTGAGTCGGTTCCAACTCATAGCAATCCTGTGTACGACAGAATGAAACACTGCCCAGTCCTGCGCCATTCTCACAATCTCCATTTTACACATAAGGTAATTTTAAGATACTTCTGTGTAAAATGGACATAATTTTTGATAAACAGCTCTATTAAGATTAAAACATAAAAAATAAGAATTATCACTAAATCAAGATGAATTAATTTACACGAAAAACAGACACTATGAAATATACAAAAGGATTTTCATTCCTAGGTAATTGAAAACTTGGATTCACTAGGAAAAAATATCAGGACAAACTCCCTCTACTGGTAGATACAAAAGAACCCAAATGAACAGAGGCATATTCTTGGGCTTATACAATTTTATAGTCAGAGAGAAACCCGATTACTATTTGTAAATGAGCAAACTGAAATCTAATGAAGGCCATACATTTATAAATAAAGTTCATGAAGGTTAAAAAACGGTTACTGGAAAATAATTATTTCAAGGGGAGAGGGAAGGACATGCAGTTAGAAGAAAACTTTATTTCTGCCGGCCCCTACCTTCTCCCTTAATTATGAATGGAGAAGCAGGCTTAAGAAGAAACAAATAAGTTTTAAGAGGAGTCAATTTTCTTTCTCTTGCCTGGTCACAAATACATCAAAATGTTTTACCTGGCTATCCCTTCCCAGGCCCCTAGCTCACATCTATCCTTTCTGTGAAATCCATAATAGCCTGGGGATACACCCAAATGGTTATCTGGTGAATGTTCATCTTCATATGGTTTATAAGACGGTTTGTGCTTTAATCCCTTTTCAAAGAGAATGTAAAAAGTCTTATACTTCTACTCTGAAAGTCTACCTTATGCCTAGTATCCTGCAATCATCCTGGCAGGTTATATATTCTAATCTACTATTACTACTACTACTATCACCACTATGAGTGTAATATTACATCTACTAACACCTAACATTTATCGAGCACTTACTATATACCAGGCTAGGTGCTTTACATGGATTACCTCATTTCATCCACATAACACCACTCTGAGGTAATACTACTGTCAGTTAAGGGAGATTTAGAAAGTTACCTGCCCAAAGCCACAGAGCTTGGTCAATGGCAAAATAAACATTTGAACCCAGAATTACGATTCGAGAGCTGCACTGTGTTTATTTTATTTGCAATCCTTTTTTTTTTAAAGAAAAAAAAAAACTTCCTTTAATAAAATGATCCAAACTACCCACTGTGCACAGCTCTAGGAAACAATGTAATGAAATGGCATTTTCATTTTAAATGTCATAAATCTATGCATAACTCACTGGTTCACAACCTCAAATCACTGTCCAAATAAAGGGTCTATTAAAAGCTGATAAAGGTTTCTCTAGAAAAACTGCTACCCAAATTTTCATCCAATCAAGAAATAGGAAGCCTCTTTTAGTAAGTTAGAGATCAAGAGCGGTTAGTTTCCAGAAAAATGAAAACACGTCCACTCAAAAACCTGTATACGAAGTGTTCATGGCAGCATTACTCATAATACCAAAAACAGTGGAAACAATCTAGATGTCCATTCACTGATGCATGGATAAGTAAAATGTGGTATTATTTACTCAGCAATAAAAAAGAATGAAGTACTCGCACATGCTACAGCATGAATGAACCTCCAGTAACTGCCAGTGGGTTCTAAAACGTGGTGGTGGTTGTGTAACTCTGTGAATATTCTAAATATACATTAAACTGTACATTTTAAATGGGTGAACTGCATGGTATATGAATTATATATCTCAATAAAGCTGTTAAAAAATGAGATAGTCTTTTTAAATGTTTTTTAAGCATTCCAGGGTTTCTACTCAATCATATTTTCAAGCAATTTTCCCTTGAATTTTCCAGCTTCAATCCATTTTTTTCTAGCATATTTCACATTTCATATTTGCCTAAATTACGGCCCAGAAATAAAAATAACTATTACACGGGGGGTGGGGAGAGCTCAAAATTCAAATTGAAAATTGGAAAATCATCTAAGTGTTAGGTATAACAATTTTCATAATTTAAAACTGCTTAAGAGCAGAGAGTAAATTTACTAAGAATAAGAGAAACATTTTGACAAAGAGCTACATGACACTCTTAGCATTTTAGTTTTAATATTAGTAACTACAATTTTTTAACATTCTTCCCAAAAGAAAGACTGACTATAATTTGTGAATATATTCTTGTGTAATAAAGAATTTATTCATGCCCAGTTTGCTAACCTCTATATAAACTACTGGAATTTCCCAAGTGACTGGAGTCTTTGTTATTCATGGTGGGCACCCTGGCCTACACCTGATAGTTTATACTAACAAGATGACTCATGGTGGGCCCCTCCACAGATTATATTAAGGAGAAGACTCAGGATGGGTGGTTGGCCATGCCAGAAACACCATCCATGTGATTAGAGGGTTGGAGCTTTGAGATGCATGCTATCAGTTGACCTCCAAGGAGGGAAGGGAGCTAGAGATTTGAGTTAAACTACTTGGCAAATGACTTACACAATCGTGCTTACATAATAAAGCCTCAATAAAAACTGCGGAAACCAAAGCTCAGGTGAGCTTCCCTGGTTGACAATACTCTGAGTATTGTGACACCTCATTTCCATGGGAGTAATTCATCCCTGAGGAAAATGGAAACTCTGCATTTGGAACAGTCCCACACCTTGCCCAATGTGTTTCTTTGGGCGGTTCTGATTTACACCCTTTTGATATAATAAAGCCGTAAACGTAAGGTAGCACTTTTTTGAGTTCTGTGAGTCATTCTAGTGAACTATCAAACCTGACGATGGTTGTGGAAACCTCCGAATCAACAGCCAGCTGGTAAGAAGTGAGGGTAGCCCTGGGGAGGGCAGTCTTGTGGAAGACTGCGTCTTCAGGCTGCAGTTGAGCAAACTCATAATTTTTATATCACACGAGCCCTTAAAACTTTAGAAAAATGTTTAAAGGGATATAATATGAAGATAATTATTAAAACACCTTAGGTCTTCTAAAACATTTTCTGCAAACTTACCATCTGTACACTTTTTTCCAATTCCTGGGGAATTGCAAATGTAGATGAAGGAGCTTGAGTAAGAGGCCATGCACCAGCCTAAACAGAAAAAAAGTAAATAGATCAACATCATCTGACTTGAAAATAAATACTTAAAAAATGATGTAAGAACTAAAACATCTTTTTTTCCTCCCTTAAAATTTTGGTAAAACCCGTCAGCATTACTATCATGGGATATTTGATTCCAAATGTAACTTTGGAAGACACAATCGACTAACTGAAAAAAATCTAATCAGACATCTATTTATTAATCCTTTTTAACAGAGTATGTGAAATGATTAGTGTATGCCCACAATAAAACACATATTCATACCTGTAGAACATATATTTGAAAACTAATTCCCAAATCTATTACTGTGTCTTGGTTTTTGATAAAATTGTTGAACTTATTGTTGAGATCAGCACTGACACTCATATCTGTATACATCCGATGTAGCTTGCTGGTAAACTCATAACCACAGGCTTGCTGTTAAAAAAAAAGGGGGGGGCATTTTTGTGTTTTTTAATATGATTTAAAAAGAAAAAAGGATAAGCCATATTGTAGAAAGCATTGGTTACTACTGCACTGTAAATGCCCTCACTGTGCATCTACACCTAAACCCAAAAAAACCCTGCTGCCATCGAGTCAATTACAACTCATAGCGACCATACAGGGCAGAGTATCATAGCTCAAGCAGCTGCTCAAAACAAATTCCTTTCTTTTTAAAGGTCATTAAATAAGTAAATGAAAACACATAATTATGATACAATAACTATCCCTTTAAAACACAAGCTTTTCTATAAATCCATATATCTCATTTCAACACTGCAAAATGCTGTTACTATATATAAGATACTGTTTAATATTTAGTGTCAAATACACATGAAAAATTACTGGGAATACTCAAGTCAGTAGTCAGTAAAAAAGGGAAAGTACTTAAGCATATTTTTAATACCCATCTACTAAGTAATGACAAATCTTTTTCTCTGAAATTATTTCAAACTGTCAACATGAGGTCAAAAATCTGAATCTCGAATTTCAGGATATAAAAGGCTTTGTGTTCTGTTAATGTTACTTTAAAAAAACTTTTTTTTAAAAGTCAATTTTTGTTATGTTTAAGAAGGAGTACACATTAAATGCAATGCCTACAGGAAAAATTTGGACTACTGAGTAACTCAGAATAAATATAAATCAATTACCGGTTGTCTCATCTGTGTGTAAGCTAAAATGAGATAAAAATGAACTGAAATCCAACTGCACTCCAAAAACTTAAAGGAATATTTTAGGTTTATTCATCTATAAGTGATATAAGTCTTCAGTAAAGTAACTAATTATCTTCTGGATCTTTCTAAATTAATATATTGATGTATTTTGTCCTTTTAACACAGTATTTGCATATCCCACTGTATGAATATACCATTACACATTTAACTAGTCGCTGTTGATTATTTCCTATTACAAATAATGCTACAATTAATGTCTTTGTGTACTAATGAAATAATTTCTAAGAGAGACATTACTGGATCAAAGGCTTACATTACCTTTAACTTATTGATCATGGCTTCTTCAGAATCCATAGACATAGACAACCCATGAATTAAACGTTTTGCCAGCATTCTTGCGTAGAACTACATTTAAAAAAAATTTTTTTAAGATTATTTCCTTTCTGATGATTTAAAGTTCCAAAATAAATCAAAGCTGACTAAACCACAAATAAAACTTTTCTATTCAGAGCTTACCTTTTGAAAAACGTCCTTATCATCAATATATTTGAAAACGGTAATGAAGCTCGTGAGTTTGTCTTCTACTTCATTCTCAGTCATCCCTTTTGCTGATTTCTTTAGTAAGTTGTCACAGTACTTAGCAAGCTCAAAGAGAAATTGATAATAAGTCTCATAAAGGGCCCTCGTGTACATATCATGTCTCAAAGGAGGCAAATTAACAATAAAATGAAGATCAATGGACAAGGTCTTTGCTGTCCTAAAACTTGTTTAAAAAATATGAAAATAAATTAAGGAACTTTAAAAGTATATGTCATAGAAAATTTTTTTTTAAAAAAAACTATAAACACATCAAAAATCAAATCAACAATCAGGGACTAATAATAAAAGCATTGATATAAAGTAATCAAGTTCCTAAAAGAGCACCTAAGTGAATTTTGAGCAGTTATATAATTTTCTGACACTAAACAACTACTTTTTCTTACTCTTACAACAATCCTGTAAAAGTTTCCTTCAAAGGTTACTGAAAATTTATGATCAGACTTCCTTTAGATATCAGATATAACAAAATTTCCATGAGAAGTAATGCAAATAAATATTTCAAGGCAAACACATTGTAAAACTCAAACTTTATAAAATGAAATGTTTTCTTATTATTACTTAAGGAAATGCTATGGTATATGGACTACTGCATTTCTTAAATAGAAGCCAAATTACATATGATGTAGACCATCATTTTTATTTTTAGTGATTTAATTTCATCTATTTTTCTGAAAAACGCTGAAAACATCAATTTGACATTCTCTTCAGTTTTTATCTTCTAATAAAGACTTTTCAAAAGATTATTTTTAAGCAACCATCAAACTTACCAGTTCAGGTGCTTTGCAAACAGATTTGGGTTCTCTGTAATTTACTACTGATGTAAGGGCCTAAATAGAAAACAGGCCAGTAATTAGGCACCAGCAATAGGGTAAAAGTACAGCTGGTTCACTATATGCTATAATCTCTTATGTTCAAAAAATACCACACCACGAAAAACTTGGCATTTTAGTGGCAGTCTGTTAATAGTGTTTTCATATCTAACATAGGGTGAACTCCTCTAAATGTATTCCTCATGATAAAAAACCACACCCACTGTCATCGAGTCGATTCTGACTCATAGTGACCCTACAGGACAGAGCAGAACTGCCCTATAGGATTTCCAAGGCTGTCATCTTAATGGACGTAGACTGCCACATCTTTCTCCCACGGATTCAAACCACTGACCTTTTGGTTAGCAGCCGAGCACTTAACAACTGCATCACCAGGGCTCCTTTCCTCATAATAATTACAGAGTAATTATATATTCTATTCCTATTGAAAGACGTTCTTTATAACTTACTACTAAAATCTGAACACAGATAAAATAAGGCTACTTTTAGCTTACAACAACCTTTCAAACAAATTTCCTCTAAAGAATACCAAAATTGAAGTTTATAAAAATACAGTAAAACCTGCAAAGGCTGGAAACCGTGTAAGGCGGAAACCTGTCAGAGAAGGAAAACTCAAATATTTTCCACTAACAGAGAGCAATAAAAAAGTGGTAAGACTGCACTCTGTCAAAGGCAGAAAACTTCCAAGACCTGTAAAAATGAGGCAGTCCCACTGAGTTTCAGCTCTCACAGTTTCACTGTAATATTTATTTTTAAGTATTATTCAATGTAGCCCAAGTACCCAAGTATTATATTCCAAAGGAAAAATCCATACTAAAGAATATTAAAATTATTCAGGTACTTTTTAGACAGTATTAGTTTATTTGCAACAATTCCCCTTATGTAACATAATCACAGGAGTTCAAAAAAACATTTAATTTAACCATTCTCTTAATAATTTAAAAGTTGTTAATTATTTCTACTTTAACTTTCAAATTGAAATTAGTCACCTGAAGTTGATCTCCACATCTGGACCAGAAATCTCATAATTAGAAGCCCTAATTCTGAAACTGCCTAAGAATGATGATGACTCAAGGATGATGATGAAACAAAGAGACTTTTATATAGATAAACATGAAGGTTACCTTATCCAGTGCACTCATGAAGTGCTGATCACCATTCAAAACAGTGTTGATAAGTTGAACAAATTTACCATGTACTTCCAAAACTGATTCCACAAACAGTGTTGGCATCTAAAAATACGAAATAGAAAGTACAAAATCACATTTTAAGAAGTTCAAGGATAAAATCATGCTTACTAAAGGTGTGTTTAATTAAGAGTAAAGTCTCCCCCAAGCAAATCATATTTTATATACACGTACACACTCAGAAAATGTTTTAGCTAAGATGGTCTTAAAAATGTTTAATGCTGACATTGAAATGAGCTTTCCATTCAACACGAAAAATGCAACACTGCGTAGGTTCCTCTGCCAGAAGAATCCTCCAAAAACACACTTCTCGCTTATGTTGGAATACCATAACTTAAGGGTAACAAGATATAATCTCTGAACTACCATGCCTTCATAGAGGGTTATATAAAAACAAAAACTACCTTCAAAGCCACTGATGGCTGAAAGAGACAGGAAGGCTAAAGAGTCAGTATCTGTGGGAATACAGGCCCCTGGAGCTGGGTGGGAACAATCAACCCCTCACAGCTCAGAAGCAGGAAATACCTAGTACTGCAAAAGTAAGTTTTCCCTCTTAATGAAGATAACTATGAAGAAGACCGTACCTAATTAACTAAGTCAACTAAAATCATCTGAGTCTCTCACAAATGCATTATTGTTTTCTCTTTCTCGTATTTCCATCTCCCAGCCCTTGACACCAAACTCTATACCTCTATGCCCAGTGTCACTCAACACCCTGAATCTACAAACCCAATGGTATAAATTAATAAACCTAATAAACAATACAAACTAATAGTTCTACAAAATGGAAAATTTATGCATTCATTGTGGCAGGACATAAAAACTAAGAAGACCATACAATAAATTATTTGCCAGAAAAACAAATCTACAACTAAGGTTATCAGCTCCTAATTAAGGCGTCTGAGCAATGGTATCTATGCATACATTACTATATTAAGATGAAGAGCAAATATTCTTCTTTAGAAAGATACAGAAGTAATATTTCATGTCATATCTTATTCCTCAGCCATCACCAGTAATAACAAAAAAGGCAGTTCAACAAGATTGTAATGATAGGAACACACTTTGATAGGAAAGGCACCTCACCTTGCTGTAAACAGTCATTTGCCTGGTAGGCTACTCTTAAGAAAGATGGGTATTAGGAATATGAAGGTCACTGTTTTAGATAGCAAACAAATATACATAGGGAAGATTGTTTTAATCTAAATTTGCTTCCTGGACAATCAAATTCAGAGAATATGCAAAGAAAAAGTTTCAAATTGTCTGTATTACCACTAACACTACCACATCAACAACTAATTAAGTATTAATGCCAGCTATGAAGAAACTTAGTTATTTATAAACAGTCAACATATTTTTCTGTGAGAAGTTAGTTAACAATTGCTAAGTGAACACATCAATATGGCTAAGAAGTTCATCTCATCCAATGATTTTCTAATAATTTGATAATTGCAAGATGAGTCCAACAAACTCTAGGTTTAAAATGATTTTAATAAAGATGACTGATCTGTTGGTATAGTAAAACTATGCAATTTTTTTCTTTCATCTTATAAAACTGTGAAGTCCAAAGAAAAACTCCATAATAAATCTGATCAAGAGAAAAAATTTCCAGTTCCTTATATAACTCACATTTTCCTGAGTAAGATTACTGGTTGCTCTGAGGCCCTCATCATGGATATGATTTTGCAGCTCCTGAATCATATGAGGTAAACCAGTGGACACAGCACGAAGTAAGACATACATATTTGCCATGTCTGAGGGGGAAAAATTGATTATTAACTTCACAAACATTTCAAAAAATATTTTTAATTTACTTTATTAGGTAACATGTGCTTCAACATGCAGAAGTACAAAACAGTATATAAAGTGCACCCACACCCTTGTCTCCCAGTCACCTAGTCCCACTCCACACAGGAAAGCAATGTTGTTGTGGTTTAGTATCTTTCCAAAGATGTGGTACGCCCATTCAAGCAAATACACAGATTCTTCCTTTTGCCCCTTTTTACACAAATAGTATACTATTTTATGTATTATTTGCAGTTGTAGAGCACTTAACATTTTAATTTGAGACCTTTCTATATCACTACATAAAGAATTTGCTCGGATTTTACAACCGCGTAGTACTCCGTTATAGATATATTACAATTACTTAACAGTCAATGGAAATTTGTTTCCAATCTCTTGGTATTACAAACAATGTTCAATTAATAATTTGTATGCTGGCAAGGATATCTGTATCATAAATCCCTAGAAGTGGAACTGCTGTGTCAAAGTTTAATCTTGTAATAGATCCTTCTAAACAGCACTCCCAATACCCAGGAGCTCCCTTGCCAACAACATGCTATCAAACTTTTTCACCTTTGCCACTGAGAGGTGAAAACCATGTCTCAGTGTAGGGGTCTTCATTTTCAACTTTACTGACATATAACACACATACAAAAAGTGTGGAAATCATAAGTGTGTATCTCAATGAATTATCACAAGTGAACACATAACAACACACCCATGTAATCACCACCCAGAGTACGAAATAGAACATTACCTACACCCTAGAAGTCCCCTTCATGCCTCCTCCCAATCACTATGTACTCCTCTTGCTCCTCTGCAAAGGTAACCACTATCATGACTACTAAACCACAGATTAGTTTTACAAGTTTTTGAACTCTATGTAAATGGAATCATACAATATGTATTCTTTCATGACTGGTTTCTTTTGTTCAACATGTTTATAATGTTCATCCACGTTGTTAGGTGCCATCGAATTGGTTACAACTCATAGAGACCTTTTGTAAAACAGAACGAAACACTGCCCGGTCCTGTGCCATCCTCACAACCCTTGCTACGTTTGAGCCCACTGTTGCAGCCAATGTGTCAATCCATCTCGTTGAGGGTCTTCCTCTTTTTCGCTGACCCTCTACTTTACCAAACATGATGTTCTTCTCCAGGGACTGGTCCGTTCTGATAACACGTAGAAAGTATGTGAGACGAAGTCTTGCCATCCTTGCTTTTAAGGAACATCCTTGCTGTACTTGTTCCAAGACAGATTTGTTCATTCTTCTGGCAGTCCATAGTATATTCAATATTCTTCGTCCACACCATAATTCAAAGGCATCAATTCTTCTTCAGTCTCCTTGTATTTGCTGTCCAGCTTTCGCATGCATATGAGGCGACTGAAAATACCATGGCTTGGGTCTGGCACACCTTAGTCCTCAAAGTGACATCTTTGCTTCTCAACACTTTAGAGAGGTCTTTTGCAGCAGATTTACCCAATGAAATGCGTCGTTTGATTTACCGACTGCTGCTTCCACAGACATTGATTATGGATCCAAGTAGAACAAAATCCTTGACACTCTTTTCTCTGTTTATCATAATGTTGCTTATTGATCCAGTTGTGAGGATTTTCATTTTCTTTATATTGAGGTGTAAACCATACTGAAGGCTGTAGTCTCTGATCTTCATCTATAAGTGCTTCAAGTCCTCTTCACTTCCATCAAGCTAGGTTGTGTCATCTGCATATTGCAGGTTGTTAATGAGTCTTCCTCCAATCCTGATGCCGCATTCTTCCTTATACTCCATATATTGTATGTAGCTATAATTTGTTCATTTCCATTTCCGTTCTACATTATTGGACATTTGGGTTGTTTCCAGTTTGGGGCTAGTACATGCTACTATGAATATTCTTGCACGTATCTTTTTTTTGCATATGTGCATGCATTTTGGGCAGCAGGTTATATACCTAGGGGTGAAATTGCTAGGTCATATCATTATGAGCGAGATTGAGCATCTTTCTTCATATATTTAAAAACTGTTTGGATTTCCTTTTCATATCTTTTGCCCTTTTTCCTACTATTAAGAACTCTTAAGGTACTAAGAAAACTAGCTCTTGTGATATAAAAATGTGCACATTTTCCCAGTTTTTCTTTTGACCTTAAAATATACTTTGAAAATATATTTTTCCAAAGTATATTGCTATCAAACAAGATCATTAATATCACACACAAGTAAAATTTTGCTGTAGTGGTTGCAGCAGTACATTCAAAAGCAGTTGCAGCAGTACATCGACAGGGAATGGCCAGGGGTTCAAGCAGATTCAGAAGAGGATGTGGAATGAGGGATATCACTGCTGATGTCAGATAGATCTTGGCTGAAAGCAGAGAACATCAGAAAGATGTTTACCTGTGGTTTTTTGACTATGCAAAGGCATTCAACTGTATGGATCATAACATATTATGGATAACATTATGAAGAATGGGAATTCCAGAACACTTAATTGTGCTCATGAGGAACACGTACATAGACCAAGACGCAGTCATTCAAACAGAACAAGAGGATATTGCGTGGTTTAAAGTCAGGAAAGGTGTGCATCTGAGTGGTATCCTTTCACCATACGTATTCAGTCTGTATGCTAAGCAAATAATCCAAAAAGCTGGACTATATGAACAAGAACATGGCATCGGGATTAGAGGAAGACTTATTAACAAACTGCGTTATGCAGATGACACAATCTTGCTTACTGAAAATGAAGAGGACTTGAAGCACTTACTGATGAAGGTCAAACACTACAGCTTTCAGTATGGATTACACCTAAATATAAAGAAAACAAAAATCCTCACAACTAGACCAATAAGCAATACCGTGATAAACAGAGAAAATACTCAAGTTGTCAAGGATTTTATTTTACTTGGATCCACAATAAACGCCCATGGAAGCAGCAGTCAAGAAATCACACGACATACCGCATTGGGCAAATCTGCTGCAAAAGACCTCTTTAAAGTGTTGAAAAGCAAAGACGTAACTTTGAGGACTGAGGTGTGCATGCCCCAAGCTGTGGTATTTTCAATCGCCTCATATGCATGCGAAAGCTGGACAATGAATAAGGAAGACCAAAGAAGAAATGATACCTTTGAATTATGGTGTTGATGAAGAATACTGAATATACCATGGACTGCCAGAAGAACAAACAAGTCTGTCCTGGAAGAAATACAGCCAGGATGCTCCTTAGAAGCAAGGATGGCAAGACTTTGTCTCACATACTTTGGACATGTTATCAGAAGGGACCAGTCCCTGGAGAAGGACAACATGCTTGGTAGAGGGTCAGCAAAACAGAGAAAGACCCAAGACAAAATGGACTGGCACAGTGGCTGCAACAACGGACTCAAGTATAACAACAATTGTGAGGATGGCGCAGGACTGGGCAGTGTTGCGTTTTGTTGTACACAAGATCCCTATGAGTTGGAACCGACTCGATGGCGCCTAACAACAACAAGACATGTATATACATGCTTCAGTAGTAAATAGTTTTTCAAGGTTGTTGCATCAATTTAACTCCCACCTCAGTGTAAAACAACTTTCCACTAGTCTACGTACTTGTCAACACTTAGCATTTTCAGTCATATTAATTTTATATTAAAATACTGAGTAGATATTGATATGTTAATGTGGTTTTGATTTGTGTTTCCTATTTTAATGAGATTGAGTACCTTTTTATGTGTTTATTAGCCATTTTGATATCATCTATTCTGTAGTGCCTGTTCAAGTTTCTTGACCATTTTGCATTTTGGATATAAATCTTTTTCCATTGTTGCCAATATCCTACCCTACAACTGTCTTTTCACTCTCTTTTTGGTCTTTTGATGATCCAAAGCTATTAACTTTAATGTAATTCACTTGATCAATCTTTTCTTTGTGGGCAGTGCTTTTCATGTTCTATTTAGAATATCTTTCCCTACCCCAAGGTCATGAAGATACTCTCCTCTATTATCTTCTAGAACAGTGTTATTGTTTTACCCTTTACATTTAGATAAAAAACTCACCATGAATCAATTTTGCGTATGGTGTTTGAGGTACAGATCTAATTTTATTCTTTCCAAATGGATATCCAATTGACTCAGCACTGTGTTAAAAAGACTATCTTTCACTCACTGCTCTGCAGTGCCCCCATGGACTTACATCAAGTGTCTATATATAGATAGGTTGTTTCTAAGCGCTCTATTTTATTCCATTGGTCTAGTTGTCTATGCATACACCAGTGTCTCACTGTCTTCATTATTGTGGTTTATGATAAGTCTTGCTATTCTATAAAGTATATCTTCCAATCATATTCAACAAGATTGTCTTGGCTAGTCTTACGGCAAGACTGTAACTTTCACAATTTAAAATAAAGGAAGAAAGAAAATTCTTGAGTTTTCATTAGATTGTCCAGGATCTATAAACCAATGTTGTTTTTAATAGCGTATAGTCTTCTGTGTAGGTCTGGCACATCTCTTGTCACATTTATCCTCTATTTGATAATACTTAATGTCATTTTCTCTTTTTCTAACAAATTCCACGTTTTTCACTATTCATGGCTGGTATATTATCGTAATTTTATTTTGTATTTCTCCTATTATGAGTGAGACTGAGTATCTCTTCATATATTTAAAATCTGTTCATACTTCCTTTTCTTATCTTTTGCCCTTTTTCCTACTATTAAGAATTCTTAATGTATTAAGAAAATTAGCTCTTCTGATATAAAAATGTACACATTTTCCCAGTTTTTCTTTTGACTTTAAAAATATACCTTTCTAAAACAGCTATTCAAAATAAACTATTAATAATCTGCAAAACGTATATTGAAGATTTTAAAGACCATTACTAAAATATGTTTTGAATCTAAGGTGGCTGGGAGCTAATCTAAAAGATGGGTTTGTAAGTTAATTTTTATTCACATTTATGTCTAGTATCACTTACCATTTTTTTTCTCTTGTCGGATGATATTATGACACTCTGCATGTAAGAACTGTAAGTGGTCTGCCACCATTCGTTGCTGACATTCATGAATCACTTTAGTATATGAACTTGGATGTAAGTATTTTCGACATCGAATTTCTTCATCTTTTAATCTACCTAGAACCTACAGAAATATAATCTTTGATTTATGAACTACTAGGTTTTACTATGATGAAAAACTTGTAATATCAGTAAGTAAATTAGGTAGTCATATTGTAATGGCTCAATTAAACACAATAACGGTAATAAAGAAGGGTTATATAGCCAATTTAAACCCACATTCCATCAATCCTTTAAAATGTTTATTTAAGCTACTAGCTATCACCTACATGTCACCACAATCTTCTGTATAAGAACTAAAGTTAAATGGTCTGCATTTTGTCTTCATTTACAGACCCCAATCATTCTATTATGTAAACAACCCAGTATGCAATAGGAAAAGTAGGTACACATTATTAAAAACTCAAACAGGTGGCCACTACAGGTAGTCCTTGACTTACAACGTATTCGAGTTACAACAAACTGCACTTGTGACCATCTTTTTTTCTTTTTGCACATCTTATCATTAGTAATATATACTACATACAATGTTGCATCACATAATTTGGTGATGTTATCATTCTCAGATGTTCACTCACAGACATTGAACGTTATGATTTACTGTTCAAAACAATGCCATAAAGCAAACTACGGCAATAACAATAAAAACTAAAAAAAAAAAAAAAAAAAAAAAGGAAGTATTTGACTTACATCAGAACCGACTTATGTCGGAGTCATCAGAACGAAACCCCGTTGTAAGTCGGGGACTACCTGTATATGAATATTTAAATATCAAACTAAAGAATAATTTACATCAACTGAATCAAGCAGACCTTTACTAAAGCTTAACCTATATAAAAAGCACTGAGCTACAAACAATACACTGATTAACATTAACCAGAACTAGCTATTAAGAACAGAGAATTAACTAATTTCAACATCAAAACAAAACTGCAATGAAAATTATGCTAGCACAGCACATGTACATACAAGTGTAAGTAGACTAAGAAAACACTGTAACATAAAGCTATGTAACTAGAGTTTGTGAACTTAACTGGTCCCAGGGAACTATGTATATTTGAGGCTTTGAGAGTACTGCTGTGTCTGCCTGGGCATCAAGAGAAGGAACATATAAAGGAAGGGGAAATAATACATCATGCTTGTGTACTTCTCAAAAACCTTTGGATGAAAAGGAGGCTCAAGACGAGAGAGTCGGCTACTCTCTGGAGGCAGGAGTGCAGGGAAAAGTCACAGAAACCAAGAGCGTGCAAGAAGGTGCCTAGATTAAAAAGGTGTTCACCATGTTTCATCAACTAAGAGTCAATTTGGTCAACAAGTTTTTCTTTTAAAATAAAAATAGCACTTAAAAGGATTAAGCCAATTAATCATTTATACCATTCTATAAGTGGCTTTAATCAGCTTGCTAGATTAACTAAATGCAACAAGAATTACAGTATGGGCTTGAGGGAGGTGAGGGAAGATGGGGGGAAAAATGCTAACTTGGGGACAGACAAGGTTGGGGTGCCCCAGTGCAGGGCTACAAATAGCTATAAAACCACCAGCAGCCAGAGGGAAAAACTACAGAAAGAAAGAGGAAGGCTACACTAATCAGTAACTAATTAAATGTATAGAGATGAAATCCTAGGATTTTAGCACTTGAAGCTATTAACTCATTGCCGTCGAGCCGATTCCAACTCATAATGACCCTATAGGACAGAATAGAACATTTGCCCCACAGGGTTTCCAAGAAGCTGTTGGTGGATTCAAACTGCCGACCTTTTGGTTAGCAGCTGAGCTTTTAACCACTGAACCACCAGGGCTCTGCCAGAGCTATTAAGGTTCACCATTATTTCCTGAATTGATCTACTTATATAAACACTATTTTCCAAACATAATTTAATTCCAATGGCCTCTATTTTAAAGCCAGGTATGTTATTATTGTTGTGTGCCATCAATTTTGACTCATAGCGACCCTATGTGACAGGGTACAACTGTCCCATAGGGATTCCTAGACTGTAATTTTACAGGAACAGATCACCAGGTCTTTTTTCCTGTGGAGTGGCTGGTGGGTTCCAACTACTGACCTTTCGGTTAGCAGTCCAGCACTTTAACCACTGTGCCACCAGGCCTTCTTAAAGCCAGATATAACAAGGTGTACATGAATCACTCTGTCTGCACTTTAAGACTACTTCTAGAGCCTTACAGAAGAGTCTAAGATGCAAAAGGGCTAAGAACTAAGAACTACTTGTTTAGTATAACCTGCACTGAATAGATGGAGGAAAAAAGGCCTAGAAGACTTGTTCAAGGTCCCAGAGATAATTAGTGGCAAAAACAGTAATAGAATTAAACAACTCCTGATTCTAGACCATGGTTTTGTCAAATATATAATGGTGCTATCAGTAAATACTGATTGACCTATGTTTTACAGCTATTCCATTTATATCATTTTATCTTTCTTGGTTAAACTAACAAAAATCATTCAGTACTAAAATGCTTGCAATCCAACACTGCAGGTGAAAATACCTGGTTAAAAATTCTCACATATCTTGTACGATGACTGAATTTATAATATGACTATATTTTACAACTAATAAAATATATATGAAATTTTAAATATAATATAATCAATAAGTGTTGCTTTAATAATTAATTAAAAATTTTTGTGGAGGTTTCTCTTAGCCTTCCAAGAACTTAAAAGACAAAGAATGACCTATCCAAGTATGCAGAATTATTACATCTCCCCTTATTTTTCCAAAAAAGAAAAAATCCAAATACCTAGCTTTTGCACTTATCCTATTCCCTAAACACATACTAAGTACAAAATCCAGTTTATAATTTTGCAAATAAATAATAATATTAATTAGAGACAAGCAAACCCCTAGCAATCAGGATTTATCAAAAAGCATCAACCATGATGAAAATTGGAATAGCACTTTTCATCAAGGAAAATGCTCTAGCAAGAGCAATGACATCAATAGGTGTTGCACATTAACTATATAACTCAGAGTGATGATAAATAGAACATTATCCACCAAAAAAAAAAATATATTAGCTAGGAAAGTTAATGTCAAGTAAAACCATGCCTCATATATAATAGGTATATTTAACGTAGTATGTCTTATTTCTTACCTTTTCCATATACTGTGAGCAGTTTGATTCCTGTAATAAATTTGAAGCTTCTTGTTTGTAATACTCTCCTGTTTCAGTCAGAAAGGGAGACTCAAAGATTTCCTGATAAAACTAAATAAATCAATTAAAATTACATTTAAAAAAAACTGCAAGTAAATTTAAGAAATTAAAGGTCTGATTATTTATGTTTTAAATGTTTTAAACATCATGTTTATCTTTACCTTTAAGGGGAATTTTTTCTTATACTGTTCAACATGAACAAAGGAGTTAATAACCCCATGGATTACTTTCTGGTTCGGGTCTTCTCCACCACGATCACTAAAACAAGGTATAACATAAAATATTTTAACAATAGAAACATCTACTGAAATATACCAAAGTATGTCAAAACATGGCTGCTAATTCCACTGATCTAATCAAATTATAAAGCATTTGAAAAGTCAATGCATGCATGATGCTTAAAATAATTTTTTTCGTATCACAACAATATTTATGGTAGTTACTATCTACATAGGATGTCATTTCAATTAAAGAAAAATTTTAATTGTAAAATTAAAAATACGTCAATACTGGAATGAAACTTCTTTAATTTTAGTGAAGTAGATATGAGCTCATCAAGTGTCAAGACTTAAAGGCTGGTGTCACAAACTCTATTAGAGGGTTTGGTTCTGAGAATGTCAGTATTTGAGGCATTACAGGAATGTCTATAGTAATTCGATGGTATACATTCCTCAAAGGTACATTCCATATAATGCATCACTCATTGTGATGTATTACTTATTGTGATATATAATGTATCACTCATTGTGATATACTATAATGTATCACCCTATATAATGCATCACTAGTAGCTACTGCTCTTCTAAGAGACCTCCTGGAGGAGCTGAGCTGTTTTCCATTGAAGCACATTTGGAAATTTAGTGAGATAAAGGTTTTAATATTTCTATATCCCTTTACAATTACAGGAGCCCTGGTGATGCAGAGGTTAAGAGCTCAGCTGCTAACCAAAAGGTTGGCAGTTCCAATCCACCAGCCACTCCTTGGAAACCCTATGGGGCAGTTCTACTCTGTCCTATAGGGTTGCTATCAGTTGGAATCGACTTGATGGAAAAGGTTGTTTTTTTTTTTTGGTTTGGTTATAATTACAATGGGCTTTAAAATCACCTCAATAATCCATGTGACATTTGATAAGTTCCCACTCAATGGCACTACTGAGACACCAGTCTGAACAATCAAATAAGAAATGCACGTAAATATTAGCTTTTCTAAGTTATAGAAATAGGAAAGTGAAATTGAAAAAAAAAAAAAATTTACTGAAAGCCACAGTAAAACAGTCTGGCCCTACGTTGGGAATTTCTGACTCCACTACTAATGCTCATATCAAACCATTATGAGGTCAAAGGTTGACCTTGCTATTGGTAATCTTCCATTATACTTTAAAATTTTTTAAATTAATTATCTTTATAAAGAGAGTCACAAAAAATATGCTATCAACATGCCCTAGTGAAAGCTTCTTGTTATTTATACTGGGATATAAATATGCTCTAAACATTTAAGTTTAAGAAAAGCATTGAGGCAATTATCTTTATGAATTAGTGTCCCTCCCTGCCTCTGCATCCCTCTAATCCTCTTTCATTTTTCCTTTAATTAACTGGATATTTTGTACATGAATTAGTATCGCTACAGTAATTTTGTCAGTCAGAGTCTTAAATACAAAGTCTACCCCTTAACATTACTAATAAGAAAAATGAGTTCACATAAGGTCACACGCAGTGAGCTCCTTTCCTCTGCTCACCTTCCACTGGTTCTTTCTTAAGCATAAGTTCAATCTGGTGAAAGAATGATCTAACCTATCTATTTGGAACCGACTACTTATCTTTTTCCTTTAAACTTTATCCAGACCAAATGAAAACCAATCAAGAATGAGAACTATCTGAATATTTGGAAAACCAGGTTACCTAAAATTCTTTTTATGAACAAATTCTATTTTCCTTACTCAGTGCCAGGAAAACTTCTACTCCTGCCATTCTTAGGACTCTCACCATTTGTCTACGATCTCAAAAGACCTCTACAAATTGGAATCAAGTAAAGCATTGCCTAGAAAAACACTGATATCTCCTAGTGCTTAATAACTAAACTGTCCTCCCTATAACAACATGAAGAAGAATGCGGCATCAGGATTGGAGGAAGACTCATTAACAACCTGCATTATGCAGGTGACACAACCTTGCTTGCTGAAAGTGAAGAGGACTTGAAGTACTTACTAATGAAGATCAAAGACCACAGCCTTCAGTATGGATTACACCTCAACATAAAGAAACAAATATCCTCACGACTGGATCAATAAGCCATATCATGATAAACAGAGAAAATATTGAAGTTCTCAAGGATTTCATTTTACTTGCATCCCCAAACAATGCCCATGGAAGCAGCAGTTAGGAAATCATTTGCACTGAGCAAATATGCTGCAAAAAAATCTGCTGTGTTAAAAAGCAAAGATGTCACATTAAGGACTAAGGTGCACCAGACCCAAGCCATGGTGTCTTCAATCTCCTCAAATGCATGCAAATGCTGGACAATGAATAAGGAAGACCAAACAATTGCTGCCTTTGAATTATGGTGCTGGCGAAGAATACTGAATATACTATGGACTGCCAGAAGAATAAAAAAATCTATCTTGGAAGAAGTACAGCCAGAACGCTCATTAGAAGCAAGGATGGCGAGACTTTGTCTCACATACTTTGGACATGTTATCAGGTGGGGCCAGTCCCTGGAGAAGGACATCACGCTTGGGAAAGTAGAGGGTCAGCTGAAGAGGAAGACCCTCCACAAGATAGACTGACACAGTGGCTGCAACAACGGGCTCAAGCATAACAACAATTATGAGGATGGTGCGCAGGACCAGGCAGTGTTTCATTGTACACAGAGTCACTATGAGTCGGATGGAACTAACTCAATGGCACCAACAACAACATAAGAATACCAGCATCTGAATTCAGAACGTGTTAGGCATAATTACACAATCTTTAAGATCACCATGTATTCTTATAAATGTATAAAAAAGTATTATGCAAAATCATTACATATATGCTGTATTTCTATTCGGTCTATAGATAATGAAAGTAAACTATATAATAATGGTAAGTAATTTATGAAAACACTGAATAAACTATGGTCTCATCTAAGAATAGTGGTCTCAAGAGGTGAGCCTTGAGAAAGGAATTTGAAGAGTATTTAGAAATATGGCTGATTATTTAGTCTTAACAGAAACTGTGTGGAAAATGCCCACACAATCATAGTAAAATTACCAAGGGAATGAAACCACTCAGCTGGAATGACAGGGATTAACAGGTTTAGTTCAGCCCAGCAGTTTAAACCAGGACTTTGTAGTCATGCTGCCTGGACTTGAGTTCTGGCTGCATTAGTATGTCACTTGGGCAGTCACTTAACCTCTCAGTACTTAAGAGATTTCCTCTTCTGTGAAGTGGGGATAAAAACAGTACCTCTTTCATGGGGGAGTGATAAACATTAAGCATAATCTACAAAAGCACTTAGCACAGTGCCAAGTATATGAGTAAATAATCAATAAACATTAGCTAGTATTTTAAATACTGATAGGCACCAAATGGAAATATTTCCAACAAATTAGAGAGGTGAATAAAGCTAAGAGATCAAAAAAGCACTAACTGTGATTTTAAAATCAAGGATTTTAAAGCCAACTAATCACACACTTAACTCAGGTAACAGACCAGGTCTGCAATGGTCATTAAAAGCTAGGCTGGGGAATTCTCCAAAGTCCTGATACTGATATGTGAATTCGGGAAATCTCTTGGTGTACTCTTCATTTACCTCATGTGTGAAATAAGAATAGGGTTCCAGCACACTAAACATAGCCTCCTGCTCCTACTCTGAAAAATAACAGAAAGAATACTTTTTAATACTCCGTTGTTGTCACAGCCTTGGACTTGCAGAGACTGAATAAAGATGGAAACAAGACAGGGTAGAGTAGAAAAATAAAACTACAGACAAAACTGCACATGGCAAGAACTGCTACCATAAAGGCAGGGGAAGAGAGTGGAGGAAGACAGATGGGAAGCAGCATATACTGAAAGCTGGAGGGTGCACAAAGGGTGACAAAATCAGGGCATCGGGGAGATCCACCATAAACGATACCGAGGTCTCGGAAGCCACGCAACAAGCAACAGCACTGTGTCCCTGCTGGACCTGTAAACATGGTGCCTGAGTGGAGGAGGTGCCCCAGGAGGAACAAGAAACCTTTACACTCAGGACTACTGCAGCACCTCGCCTGATAGTACCTCCCAGGCTTCCCCATTTCCACCACAGAAAGGCTGTGGGAAATCAGGGACACTTTTCACCCTCAGATGCGCAAAATTCTTAGTCTGATATTATCAATTATTGGTCAGTGTGTAAAGAAATAGGTATTTTCACACGCTGCTTATTAAAGTACAGGCACTTCATAAGGCAAACGGGCAAAACTCTAAATGCACACGCTCTATGACCATGAACAAACATCTACATATGTGTATAACAGACACATATCAGATGGTTTCTATAGCAAAGCTGTACTAATAGAAAAACTGGAAACAACCCAATGTCCACCACTAGAAGAGTTTAACAAAATGAAGCAGAACCATACCAATTATTACGTAGCAATTTCAAAAGAATTAGGTAGATCTTTACGTACTAACATAGAAAAATTGCCAAGATACACCACTGAATAAAGAAAAAGAATTAAATTAGCATAATAAATATCATTTGTTTTTTAAAAAAAGAAAAAAGTTATATACTAAAAATAAGAAAACCTATTTCTGTATGTAGACATGAAAACTGATAGGAAAAGGTTTGGAAAGACAGTTAACTAAATGACAACAGGGATTACCTCTGTGGAGACAAATGAGATTGAGGAAAAGACTAGAAATACTAAAAGTTTTTCAGGGATGCATTTGTGTATTATTTGCTTTTAGAACTAGGTTTTTCACTGAGTAGTTGATACCAGGTCTGGGAAACAAACTGCACAAGGTAAGTTTGGAACATCCTGACATACCAGATGGCAGGAAAGCTATCAAATATGAGTAGGGTTGAGTCAAAAAGACTCTGGCACCAACTAGCAATTAAAGCAATTTAAGCTTTAATAAAGTAAGACTTACAATGACTAGAAACTCATCAAATATGTTTAAGTATATGAGTTCATCAGATATATCTTTTAAAAAGCTAACTGGTCACCTTCAGAGGGTAACAGGGAATCAACTCATTATCTTGAGAACTGGGTGAAAGAAAAAAACAAGCTTTTATCTTGCCTTTCTTATACGAACTTTACCAAATAGTAGATGAGGAAAAGCCTATCTTTCCAGGTAATAAGTGAAAACAAAATGAAAGAATTAGAATGTCATAGCTTTACAAATCCCAGTAGGGAGCATACATGGCTGCTAACATAAAAAAAAAAAAATTGAAGTGTCAATGACTTCACTCTATTTGGATCAACAAAGTCCACAGAAGCAGCAGTCAAGAAATCAAATAACATATTGCACTGGGCAAATCTGCTGCAAGAGCACTCTTTAAAGTTTTTAAAAGCAAAGATGAATAAGGTGCACCTGACTTACACCACGGTGTTTTCAATCGCCTCATACACATGCAAAAGTTGGACAATGAAAAAGGAAGACAGAAGAAGAATTAACGCGTTCAAATTATAGTGCTGGTGAAGAATACTGATATACCACGGACTTCCAGAAAAATGAACAAATCAGTCTTAGAAGAAACACAACCAGGATGCTCCTCAGAAGTGAGGACAGTGAGACTTTGGCTCACTTACTTTGGGCACATTACCAGGAAAGTGCAATCACTAAAAAATTACATCATGGTTGGTAAAGTAGAGGGTGAGCAAAAATGAGGGAAACCCTCAATGCGACAGACTGACACAATAGCCACAATGATGGGCTTGAACATACCAACGAAGATGGCACAGAACCAGGTGTCTTAGTCATCTAGTGCTGCTATAACAGAAATACCACAACTGGATGGCTTTAACAAACAGAAATTTATTTTCCCACAGTCTAGTAGGCTAGAAGTCCAAATTCAGGGCTTCAGCTCCAGGGGAAAACTTTCTCTGTTGGCTCTGGAGGAAGGTCCTTGTCATCAATTTTCCCCTGGACTAGAAGCTTCTCTGCGCAGGAACCCTGGGTCCAAAGGATGCGCTCCGCTACTGGCACTGCTTTCTTGGTAGTATGAAGTCCCCAACTCTCTGCTTGCTTCCCTTTCCTTTTATGTCTCGTAAGATAAAAGGTGGTGCAGGCCACACCCCAGGAAAACTCCCTTTACACTAGATCAGGGATGTGACCTGAGCAAGGGTGTTACATCCCACCTTGATCCTCTTTAACCACAGGCAGAGATTATGATTTATAACACATAGCAAAATCACAAAATAAAGGACAATCACACAATACTGGGAATCATGGCCTAACTAAGTTGACACATATTTCTGGGGGACACAATTCAATCCATGACACTGAACAACGTTTCATCCTGTTATACATAGGTCGCCATGAGTCAGAGCCGACTGGAGGGCAAGTACCAACAGCAGCAACATCAAACAAAAGTGAAAATCAGTCACTGTGAAAGACAGTATCATCTATAGTCTTGCCAGAAGGATTAAAGCTTAGTTTGGGCAGGCTGCTGGACTGCCAATTTGCAGGAAATCCAGAGGCAGAGGAACATACTGAAATGTGTCTTACACATAAAATCAGCAAAATCTAGACCACGAAAAGTCCAAAGATTAAACAGTTGGGATTTGTCAAAAATAAACTACAAACAAGGGATAGAAGGGGGAGCTGCTGATTAAAAAGACACAAAGTTTTTAAAAAAAGGACAAGACTAACTTACAGTGTCTAGGGATGCACACTTGGGTGATAAAGCCATAAACAAAGAGAAGAAAGCAATTACCTTAAAAGTCGAGATAGTGGTTATCTTTGGAGAAAGAAGGAATGGGGCACACACAGGGGTTTCTGGGGTAACTGGTAAGGTTCTAGTTCTTAACCTGGGTGGTGGTAACAAGGGTACTCACTTTCTAACAATTCACTAGGCTGTACATCTGTGTTGTAAGGCTTTCTGTATCTACATTTTATTTTATAATAAAAAGGTTAAATAATACACACAAACAAAACCCCAAAAAGTCTAAAAGAAAATTGATATAATATTAATATCTGACAGAATAAGAAAAAAGAGCACAAGATAAAAGAAAGTTACCATATGATGATAAAAATAATTAACCATGAAAATAATAACCTGACACTTAACTAACAACAGAGCCTCAAAATATATAAAAGGAGCAATTTATAAGGAAAAAAAAATCTATAAACAGACTAGAAAATCTTTAAACACATCTCTCAGAAACTACGAGATATGAAAGAATAAAGACACTAAAATTAGAC